ATATGCCATCCTAGAGCCTTCATACAATAGCTGATGGAAGCAGAAGCTCAGACCCACAGTTACACTAAGATGAACTCTGGAATCCAGTCACAGAGAAGGAGGAGTGATATGCAAATAGGTCAATACTAGGCAGGAGAATCCCACAGAGGCAGCTGACCTGAACAAGGGGAACACATGGGCCCCAGACTGATAGCTGAGAAAGCAGCATAAGTCTGTTCCAGACCCTCTGAACATGGGTGTCAGTCTGGAGGTTTGGTTAAGTCCTCTGGTAATGGAGCATCATTTATCCCTAGTACACAAATGACTTGGGAGCACACTCAGCATCGAGGGGTACTCTATCAGCCTAGACACATGGGGGAAGACTCAGGCTGTGATTTGAGTGATAATGACAGACTTTGAAGATATTCCATAGAATGCCTCACTTTCCCTTGGAAGCAGACATGGGTTTGGGATGGGGGTTGGTTGGGCACAGAGGAAGAGAGGAATGAGAGAGAATTGTGATTGACATGTAAAACAAGTTTGTTTCTAACTTAAATTAAAACAGAAAAAACACTGGCAAAATGAATCCAAGAATAAATCCAAAAAAGTTATCCACAATAATTAAGTAGACTTCATCCCAAAGATGCAGGAATGGAAACAAAGGAAAATAAACTGAAAAGAAAAAAAACTACATGGACATCTCATTAGATGTTGAAATGTAAATATGGTATTTGTACTGAAATCAATATACAGATACAAAGCAATTCTCATAAAATTCCAATAAAAGTTTCAAACATATCAAAATAACAATTCACAATATCATCTGAAAAAGGAATCAAAAATCCCAGGATAGTAGAATCAGTACTGTACAGTAATAGAACATGCAGAGGTATCACCATTCCTAACTTCAAGCTCTACTATAGAGCTTTCATAATAAAAACAACTTGGTACTGGCAAAAAACAGACAAGTATATCAATGAACTCAAAACAAGGACATTGATACAAGTCCAAACACCCATGAAGAGCTTAATTTTGACAATGAAATAAAAATTTCCACAGTGGAAAAAAATGAATCTTTGCCATATGGTGATGTATACTCTGGATAACAGCACAGAGAAGAATGCAGAGAGAACAATATCTTCCCACTGTACTAAACTCATGTCCAAGTTGATGAAATACCTCAAAATAAATACAGTTACTATGAACCTGATAGAAGAGAAGGTGATAAGTAGCCTTGAATGTCTTGGCACAGCAAACAACTTACTGAGTAGAACACCAGGGACACAAATAGTAAAAGCAACTCTTATAAATGTGCAAGATTCCATAAGCAAAGGACGCTGTCAACAAGACAAAAGGGCAGCCTACAGAATGAGAAAATTCATTCACCAACCCCACATCTGACAGAGGGCTGAACTCCAATATATATATCCCAAGGAACTAGACACTAAAATAGCAAAAAGTCCATTTAAATATGCAGTACAGATCTAGACATAGATAGCTCATCAGAAGAATCACCAATGGACCAGATACAATTAAAGTATTGTTCAACGTTCTTTGTAATCAGGGAAATGTAAATCAAAACATCTCCAAGATTGCATCTTACACCTGTCAGATGTATGATTAAGACCAATAACACTAATATCAGCTTACATTGGAGAGGATGTGGAGCAGGCAGAACACTTTTAACTTCAAGTGTATTGCAAATTTGAACAACTGCTTTAGAAATCAATTTGGCATTTTCTCTAAAAATTGTGACCAATCTGCCACAAATTCAACTATACCAATCTTGATCATATACCCAAAGGATGTTCAATCATCTGATAAGAACACTTGATCAGCTAGGTTCATAGCAGTGTTATTCATAATAGACAGACCCTGGAAATAATCTAGATGTCCTAGAACTGAAGAATGAATAAGGAAAATGTGGTAATTCATGAAATTTACAGGCAAATGTATACAAGTAGAAAAAAAAACTATCCTGAGTAAGGTAGACCAGGCTCAGATAAACAAACATGGTATATTCTCATAATTGGATAATAGGTATAAACTATAGGATAACCAGGCTTCAACACACAGTCCCAGACAGGCTAGGTAACATGGAGCACTGAAAAAGTGATGTATAGATTTCTCTGGAAAGAGGAATTAAAGAGCTCTCTTGGGGAAAGTAGGCATGGGGGATTTGGGTTAGAAGTCTTGTACACCAGAATGAGAGGGAGAGTAATGAAAGAAATATCTTGATGGGGGCATTTCAGGGTTAGAGAGAAGACTGGTGTGAAGAAACCTCCCATGAACTCACAGGAAGTCATTAGCTAAGACTGATACCAAAGGTGGGGTGGGTGTCTGAACCAGTCATCTTTGGTAATAAGATGACTGACTCACCTCACTGTCATCAGAGCACTTTCATCCAGGAACTTATTGAAGCACATGCAGAGATTCACAGGCAAGCACAGAGAAGAGTGCTGGATGTCCTCTGAACAGAGGCTGTAGGGGTCAGCAGCTTTCCCCCAGAACATTCCATTGAATCCTGGAGAGTATGGAATCCTGTGATGTCACCTGTGTTGTAGCAACACCAACTGCCTTTGGAGAGTCCTTCAATGCCCTTAAGGCTCAACAATGAATGTTCTGGCAAGACTGAGGAATCATCATATGAGAGAATATGGAGAGGGTAAAGAGACCAGAGAGAAGCTGAAGAAAACTGACCTTCAGCCTCAGTTTAAACCATCAAAAAAGAAGAAAGAACAGTAAGTCCTGGGCAAGAGATAGGAGGCCCCCTGGGAATTCTGCCTTTAGTGGGATTTTGGGTAATGGGGTACAGGTATTGGGGTTTTGGGGAAGAAATTGGATTTCACTGCCTGACATGGCTCAAATAATTCAAGTATTCCAGGCTAGTAATTTTCCAGAAACTGGCAATGCAACAGCTGCTCTAAAGAGGTGAAACAGCAGATGGATATTCTGAACATTCAGCTAGAGCAAGTGACCAGAGAATTGAAGCTGTTGCTATATTGCCTCATCCCCATCACCGAAGGAGCCCCTGACAGATGTTTCTGTTTCAGGATTGTTCAGAACTTTCAGTGTGCTGTATATCAGATTCTGACAGAGAACCAGGATGTAGATTCCCAGTTTTCATCCAAAGGAAAACAAGACTTGTTTCCTTTACTAAATGAGAGACCCCCAGAAGAGCCAGTGTTTGCAGGCACAGATCTGAGGAAATGTAGCTCCACCATGATAGGCTCCATCTTGCATATTGCCTGGATGTATTGTTACTTCCCAGCATGAGCCATTAGGATGCCCCATGATCTTGTCCAGTTGTCTAAGCTGCAATGATGTATTATGTCTACCTATGCAAAGAGGTAGGTAAATCACCAAGAATATTGTGTTTCACACTTATGCTATTATCAATTGTTTTAATATGCTATTCCTTTTGTCATAATATTGTCACCAGACTGTTGGAGAATGTTCTGTTCTTTCTCATAGAGCATAAACATACAGTAGTCAGATCAATATGTGAAACTTGTTAAAGGCTGAAAATATCCAAGGACAAACTACTCTGAAGCCCTTGTTCCTTAGGGATACAAAAACTTACTTCTGTCAAAAGATCAGTGTTGAGCAATGTACACTTCTATTTTTTGTGAGGTCAGAGCTTGTGAGCTGACATGGCAGGTCCCCACTAGGGCTATGTTCTAAATTCCTTTGTTCCTCCTCCAGGTCAGAGAAGATGCAACATGAGCTGGAGCAAGCTTCCGGGCATGATGAGAGCTTTGTGCATTCCCAGATGCTGTAACAGGGGCACTAAATTTCACAGGCAAGTGTTCCTCCATTTTCTCAAATTTGCAGAATCCATGACATTAGAGGGTGGAATTTCTTTCTTAACTTTGGTTTACTATCTGTGAATGGGAGCGATTTTTTCTAGGTATAGACAGAAGAAGGTTGTTTTTGGAGTTGATTGCCTTTCTTTCTCTCACAGAACACTTTCAGGGAATTGAAGAGGCTGATGGAATCCACAGACAACCAGAAACAGTAACATTCTTCATTATAGCATCAAACCATCCATCCTTGATGATTGCTAGACCTCAAATGCCCCAAAGTGGCCTGGCTATACTTGTCATGAAAAGGTCCAAAGGTGGCCACAGGGTATAGACAGTGCAACTAAATCTGACTGTTGTAAATAATGCTTATCTTAATTTTTTGTATAGTTAATTAGCTTGAAGTTTGTTTGCTTTGACATTTTGGATTTCTTTGTTTTGCTTGGAAGTTTTGTTATTTTTTGGTCCTACATTTGTTCTTGTTTTATATCTGATATTTTGCTAAAACTAAAAGATTTATGTATCAAACGCCCTGTTTAAGCCCCTATTGAGTAAATTCACTATATTTCCATAAGTAAAATATTCAAACTTGTCATTCTTAAAGTAGGCATTTGATCAAGTGTGCTGTCAAACTCCTGTAACTGTAAAATGCAACAGACAGAGTTGGATGTCTGAAACTTCCAGGTGACTTTGACTACGCTAAAATTTCCAAGACAGAAAGAAGAAGGGGCTTGGTGTCTTTGGTGTGTATGTCATGGATACCTACTACATAATGCTAAAAGGCCCATTTTCCACACCTGACATCACATACTTGTACTCAAAAAAATGGAGACTGCATACACATACATGCTTATACTATTCCAGAGAAAGGATAGCTGGGTTTTCTAATGCATCTAAGGAAATGATACCCTTCCTTATGGGAGTATGAAGAAATAAGGAAACCCACGTAAATCTTCTTCATTTGCCTTGAAAGATAACACCAGTGATAATAGCAAGGTAGAGGAAAAAAAACCCTACCTGATCAGACTCATCACAGAAAAACATGGTTGTTTGTAGCAACTAAATAATGAGACAATGTCACAAGATTAACTCCAAGAAAGTGGAGGCAGACTCTGCTCATCCTCAGATAATGACAGATCTGAATAATTAGAAAACCAGATGAGGAGAAGTTCTGTCACCCTTGACTCCCACAAGGGGGCTCCAAACCTCACTGCTCACCGATTACGTCATGAAGTCTTTAGATAATTAATTAAACAGTTGGACAGTTTTGCAACATCAGTTCCCAGGAGGACAGGCAGGACCCGGCTCACGAAGGACGCTGTCATCATCACGGATTTTAAAATTCCATAATTTAACAGTTACAGGATCCGACGACCACGCCTGATGATCCCTGACACTCTGACAACATCATCGCGGGTGACCAGATAGATCCCTGCAGTCTTGATGCTGCCGCAGCCCTGCAGGATGGGACCCGGGGACGGGCTTCTCCACCAGAGCCTCCCGTCGCGCGCTGTGACGTCACCCCAGGCGACGCCACCCCCCACGTCCGCGGCAGTTATGGCACCAGCGCCCCTTGTTCCGCCGCTTGTTCTCGTCATAGTAGAGCGCAGCCAAGGCGAGGATGTGGAGGAGGAGCAGCGAGGGGCCCACTGCGACCTCCACGCTCAGCTGGGTCGAGTCTTTTTGCTTCCTCTCGGTGGGCACCATGGCGTCTGTTGGACTACATCTCCCAGCATCCCTCGCGCTTCTGGCAGCTGAGTCTGCCAAGGACGCCTTCACCAAACCCCTGACCTGGCCGCCCCACCCCTAACCGATGACGTCATCGTCGAGGTGAATAATTCTATAATTCAATAACTCTGTGGGCCTGTGTACTTAACTCCCAAAAGGTGGATCTGAGCTCGTGATCATTGATGAGGTAATGATCATTTAAATAAATACTTTGATATTTATGTTATTATGTGATGTCACATTGTTAACTCCCAGGGAGGACTGGCCAGACTCCAGTCATGAAGCAAACATCATCATCAATTTAAATAATTAAATTAAATAATCAAATGATGGGATGATGCCGCATACTGAACTCACACATACTGGAGTCAGACTGGACTCTTCTTGGAATAGATACATATTTGTGCTACTGTAACTGCCTATTTGTATGGTTTGAATGGGACTTGAACTCAAATACCTGGGCTCACAGAAGGAAGTGCTTTTGCCAGAGACACATATCTCATTCTAAATAGCTTTTCCAATGCCTTTGCATTACAAACACACACACACACACACACACACACACACACACACATTTTCAATATTTTCTAATATCTTGGAAATTCCTCCTAATTTATATCACTTTATCACTTGATAACAATGAAAGAGTAATTTATGGGTTTCAAATTTCAAAAGAACCTTGGTATGAATGATTTGGGACAGGATAAACTAATATAATCATGGAATATATATATGTATATGCTAAATATATGCTTTTAGAATATCACATGAATGTAAACTAACCCATTCGCACATAAGCATTGCTGTAACTCTAGGGTGTATCAGGGTTGATATGGGGGATTTGTTCATTCAAACCTCATGTGTAAATCAACACAAGGTCCTCAAAATTTTGTTTGGGGCTCCCAGCATCCACCAGAATTCACTTCCAGAAATGACACATACTGCACAGACTCTCTAAGCAGTTCTCAGACTCTGTACTGCCCTAGGAATCTAACCTGCAAGAATACAGACAGAATTTCCTGAAACTATCAGGGGGTCCTGTCTGTCTGTCTGTCTGTCTGTCTGTCTGTCTGTCGCTGTGTCTGTGGCCTCCTTGGCATGTCTTCATACTCAGAGCTTCCCACATATCTCTACCCAATACCCTCAGAGACCTCCCTTTGTAGCCTCAATAAAGATACCTCCAGGAGGCTTTGTCAAGAATGAGAATTGGAAGAGATTATACAAGGTTGTATCCAGAAGGCAGGAGAAGTGGTCTTCTTCTAGGTTCCATATTGGAGGTTCTCATCAGTATGGAGGTGGGCCTCTGAAGTCTCTCAGTGCTCTTAGCAGATCAGCTTTTTGTTGGGTACAGAAAAGCATTTTCCAACTGAATATGGTATATCATCAGGATCCAGACAGGCGTAGCTGCACTGGATGCCAAGCTTTGGACTGTACATAAGAGCCAGTGACAGTGGGAATCACAGATAGAGAAAGTGACAGATGTGAAGGTGGACAGACAGATACATGGATGGAGCGAATGAGATGGGGGAACGGAAGGGGGTGAGAACCTGTGTGTGAGATTTTAAGTGTTTTTTTGTGGGATGAAGTTTTTGTATTCAGAATGTTGGGCCAAACCTTTCTGTCTACGGACACTTGTTTCTGTTCCATGGTTCTGGGCCCCTGGAGGGAAAGCATGAAGGCACATTGATGGTATCCTGTGAGGACACCTGGAATTTGGTGGGATGTCTCCAAGGAGGATGGGGCTGGCTGGGTATGTGCTGTAGTCACCCCGGTGTGCCAATCAAGAGTTGCTTATTTTCCCTAAGTATATAGGCTGCCTGTCCTCTGTCCACTTGAACCTTTTAAGAGACCTCTCAGTTCAGTGAGTTTCTAGGTCTGAACATAGGTAGGAGGATGTTCACAGAGGATGTGGAAAGTTCCTTGGGGACTCTGGAAAATCAGGAGTTTCCTGAACGGGGCTTGTTATTAGGTGGGGGATGTCAGAATGTGGAAAGGAGATATAGTTAGTGTGACTGTGGTGATACATTGTTTATGATTTTTGGCAGCAGTGGGGGTGGGCACTTACAATGCCAGCTGTTCTGAAGCCATCCCAGCCTCCTCCTCAGTAGACCAGACACCCTCCCTCCCCTCCATTCAGCTCAGAGCCAGAACTTTTACCTTCTCGGCTCTGCAGTTAGGTCTGCTATCCCCTTTCTTCTTCTTTTTGGGAGAGGCAAAGGGAAGTGAGCTCCCTACAACTGAATCGGCCTTTGGTTCATGTTTTCTCCCCTATATATATATATGCCATATATAAATATGCCATATATGTGTGCCAACAAATGGATCTATGCCATCTTTTCTAATTGGCATGCAGATAGGAATTTTGAATGAGCACTGGTATTTTTGTACAAAAGGTTAAAAAAATTGACTGTTGTAGTCTGCATGGCAGACATGATAGCAAAGCAATGTATATCCTAGCGTGTGTTGCCATAGTTTGCAGTTCATCTTAACAGTGCACCAAATCTGTATTTGCATTTAATATTATTTAAGTTCTATGCATAATGTTTTGCCTGTATTTATATGGTTCTGGAGGGGTGTGCTATAAACTGACAAATCAGTAATTCAAATGTATAATCTCACTGGCACGGGAAGAGACATTTTAAAAGGGGTAATTTTTTGGTACCAATAAAGCTTTTTGCTGATGGGCAGAAACCAATGCCATGCACTGAGAATAAAAACCCGTGCCCACTTGTAATGTTCTGTCTTCCATGTGTCTCCACTTTAGGGTCTCACCCCTGGACCTGTGGGAGTTAAGGAGCAAACACAGCACCCAAGCTTGTCCCTTCCTGTGACATACTTCCGTCAGGGCCCTGGGGACCAGCCTCATGCCTTGAAGAACTAGTTTTTCTGTACACTCCACAGCTGGAGCTGGGTAGAGCTTGCGATCCAGGTCCTGGAAAGCTGGGGCCCTGGGAAGGATAAGCATGAGGACACCTCCCCCGCTCCCTGTCCCCTCCTCCTTCTGACCTTCCATCCTCCTTTTCTTAAAATGCCTTTCGACAAAGTTAGTCCCCATTATAGTAACTGCTTTTCCTACAGACATTCCCTACCGCCCACTACTTCTTCCCATAGCTGTTTTTGTTTTTAATGTTCCATTCATTACATTTGGGCATCATGGCTGGTATTCGTCTCCAATTTCTGATCAAAGAAGATAAGTCATTTACCATCTGGACTGTCATATCTCTCAGATGACTCCTTGTAGCTCACACTCAGATGTACAACCAAGTTCTCTGTTCCCTTCTAAGTCACTCCTCTAGAAAAGAACCCTGTCTCTTGCCCAGGATTCCTTAAGAAAAGTATGTTGGTGAAGGTCAGCCAGGTGGTCTCTCGGTCTCTCTGAAGGTGCTGACTGAAAAGCAGGGACCAGCCTGGATGGAAAAAATCTTTCAGGATATGTCTTTAAAGAAATGTTTTTTGATGTGTGTGAGTGTTTTGCCTGCATGTATGTCTGTGCTCCTCATGCCTGGTGCCCAAGGATGTCAGATGATGTCTTTGAATACCCTGGAACTAGACTCAGGATGTTTGGGAGCCTCCATGTGGGTGCTGGGAACACCAAGTGCTCTTAACCACTGAGCCATCTCTCCAGCCCTCGGCCTAAGGATTATTCCCAGCTTTCTTGCCGGTCCCAGATTGTTCTCCATAGGCATGGACACACAGACCGCTTGGCTTCTTTAAAATGGGGGCCAGGAAGTAATTAATTTAAATAAATTTAAACTTGGAAGGAGTTAGGGCCTTATTGATAACAGAAGCCATAAAACAGTCATGATAGCACTTGGTTTTTCCCCCACTCTAAGTGCCCTCCTAATGCACACATACCCCTAGCCCCATGCCCCCCACACACCTGTAAGATCCTTTCTGAAGCGTGACCCCATATTTCTCCTTTTATTCTCCTATCTTATCCTCATTGGGCCTCTATCTTCTCTGTTAATACATCAGATTTTTATTGGTGGGTTTTTGTTATTGTTATTGTTTAAGACAGGTTCTCTCTGTCCTAAAATTAGCTCTGTAGACCAGTCTGGCCTTGAACTCACAGAGATCCATCTGTCTCTGCCTCCTGAGTACTAGGATTAAAGGTGTGCACCACCACTGGCCATCTAAGAATTAGATCTTAAAAGTATAACCACCTAATCTGGCATGTGGTAGGGAATGCTGTCTGGCTAAGATTGCTGTATCTTAAGACATTGGTTCAATGGGATGTAAAGACCAGTTGGGTTCCTTGGGCCCAAGTGAACATGAAAAAGCATATTCAGCTGGGTGGTGGTGGCACATGTCATTAGTCCCAGTACTCAGGAGGGAGAGGCAGGCAGATCTCTGTGAGTTCAAGGCCAGCCTAGTCTATAGAGCGAGTTCCAAGACAGCCAGAGCTACATAGAGAAACCCTGTCTTGAAAAACCAGAGAGAGAAAGAAAGAAAGAAAGGAAGGAAGGAAGGAAGGAAGGAAGGAAGGAAGGAAGGAAGGAAGGGAAACGAAGAAAGGAAGGGGGAAGTAGGGAGGGAAAAGAGGGAGGGAGGGAAAAGACAGAAAGAGAGCATACTTACCTTCTTTGTTTCCAGTTTTAGAAAATAATTGCTTTGACCTCCATCTGTAGTAATTTTTTGAAAGCCCCCTCTCCTGGTTACATGTCCTCTCCATGTGTCCCTAAGTTTTTTTAAAGCTCTACCAAATCTGCCTGACTAGCTCCCAAAAATGCATATGGCCAGGGCCTGACAGGTCCATAGATAATTCATCAGGTGCCAACACAGTAGTCACCAGCTCCTGCCTTGCATCTGTTAGGACCTGACCTTGTCACTGGAAGCAGGAAGGAGAGGAGGAATGGCAAGTCCTTCACAGGTGAATGATTTTGCAACTTTACTGTAAATAAAACAAATATGTCCCTATCTCTGTGTGGTGTCATCGATTGCCTTCAGTGTGAACCTAAGTTATGAGAAATGGGCTGGGCAC